CATACGTAAAGGGAGGAATGGGCACATTTAGGCAAGTTTAAAGAGAAACTGCTACTGGTACACTAAATAAAGAATGTGCCACATATAGGACAGGTCTAAAGAGAACCTGTCATACTGTTGCATTATTACACAAGAGAAAGAAGAACATGCTACATTTAGGGTAAGTGTAAAGAGAATGGATAACTTGCGAGAGAAAGGCAGACCATCTTATCCCCTTATCCCGTTTCATTGTGTAATTCACATTCGATGTTTTGTCTCTTTAGCAGGATGTCGTCCTGGTTTGTACACATTTTAGAGGCACCACAGCAGGTAATGTGTGGGTAAAAGATTGTTTCTAGTTAGGTACACAATTTCCAAGTAATTTAACAGTTGGTGTATATCGCTGAAAAAAAAAAGAATTATCAGCTCGTTGGCCACACGGGGGACAACTCTAGTTTGACCGTTATAATTTCTTAAAGTAAAAAAAAAAGAAATTAATTTAAATTTGCCTATAAATTTGTGTAAAAAAAGACATACCGAAGTCAGACTGTGGTACCAATAATTGAGTTTATTTATTAAATTTAAAGTTGCTTAGTTAAATAAGCATTTCATATAAAAAAAATACTTGAAATTAAACTTGTGAGAAAACTTTTAGGCCACTTCATTTAATGGGTCAGATCGAGACCAATTGTCCTTCAAGGTCTCTACACGGACCTGCGACGTCACAACCTGTGGACAGTCGAGACCAATAGCTTATTGACACGTTTCAGGTGTGTACGACGTGGCAACGAATTGATTGTCTCCCCACTGCCCACGGGTTGCGACGTCGCAAGTCAGAATGGAGACCTTCTATAGCAAAAGATCTCGGTCAAATCAAGTGACCGATCGACTGGTACACAAGCTTTTTTTCTGTCTCATTTTAAATAGTGTGAAACTAAAAATGATGTGAAATTGAGTTCGGAAACTCGTATTGAAATAATAATAGACTAATATACTGAAGGAGCCATACGAAGTCCCTATATAAAAAGTTACCATTTCCGTTAATAAAATCAGATTTTTTGTTTCGATCAAATTAGCTTCGGAATAAAATGTATCAAAGTAATCATATATCACTAAGGCTGCTATCAGTGGAAAAGAAGTTATCATGTATAAAATAGCAAGCACAAAGACCATTTTGACTACTCGCCTTTCTTTTGTAGTCATGACACTGCCCGAGTGAGAATGGTCAATTTGGCCTTCAATAGCGAGCGCTCTGCGAACTCTTGATGATTGTTGCAATCCTCTAAACATTAATACCGAGCAGACGAGAACAAGAAAGGGCGCGAACACGCACAGGAAAAAACCTAAGAAGTAGTAATTAAATCTGTCATACTCGATGTAGAAATCTGTCCAGGTTTCATAAAATATTGTCGAGTTGGTGTCTTTAACAAAACTAAAGGAAAAGACAAGAGGCGAATAATAGGTAATAAAAAATACTAGAATAACTGTCACGATCAGTTTGCCGTGTCTGGCAATAAAGGACGAGTTAAAATGTATTGGTCTAATGACACATAAGCATCTTTCTATAGAGATAAACATGGTGAGACCTGACGAAAGGTCTTTACATAAAGCTTTTATTATCCAGAGAAAATTTATAAATGCTGTGCCGTCCACAATTATCGGTCCTAGTTCTGCGTCTCCAGTAAAGCCCCTAGTCATTGCAGCGTGGAACACAGCTAGCACCAGGTCCGTAGAGGACAGCCAGAACAGGGTGAAGTTGACCCTCTCTTTCAGTCCTAGTTTCACAAACACAGTGATGTTAATAAGGTTGGACAGCATGCCAAGGGCTGTCATAAAATTAGAGGCCACGACACCGAACCAAAAAGCAAAATAAAATATGAACTCGTCTGGTAAGATATCCCTCCAGTCGATGGAATTTACAGAGCTTGAGTTTGACATTTGATAGGGCGCCTTAAGTTTCCTATTCTCTAATGTTTTAAATCTATTGGAGGCCACGACACCGAACCAAAAAGCAAAATAAACTATGAACTCATCTGGCAAGATAGCACTCCATGTGAGTGAATTAATTAACTGGAGTTAGACATCGGGTGCTTGATTTCTAATATAGTATAGATATATTGATAGATTATAGCTTTATTTGTTGGTCTAAATCATCTATAGCACTACAATTTTATGTAGCTATAGAGTTGTGTTATCCTGCATTAAATCAGAGAAAAATGTCTGATCCAATGACAAATACTGGCATTCGAATACTTTATTGAATTGTTAATTCCTTTTATTAACATTGTTTTTTAAATCAATTTTAAAAAAAAAAATCAATATTTATTTTGTAATTAGTTTAATAAGTCAACATGGGGCTTATCCCCCCAAAAATTGCTTTTCATTTTTTAAATTGAGATCTAGATGTGGACATGAAATCTAGATACAATGAGAATATAACATAAAATTAAGCCTCTTGATATTTTCCCGGATCCAGTGGTGACAACAGTACATCTTAACCTTTTCATTTTGGATTAACTATTAACCGTTTTACAAACGTTCAGAGTTGGCATCACTGCAACATGAGTTGGAAGCACTGCAACAAGAGAGAAGGTATACTATTGTTGATAGCACTTGTAAAGCTGTATAACTATTGACTTTTTTTTTTCACGTCGTTACTTGGACCATCTGTTCAATGATACTTGACGCGTTCAAGAAGCACAGTAGACTATCGTGTTACATTTGAAAACGAGTTTGTCGCAATTGAAAGATGTCAATACTTTGTCTTGGTTTATTCAGCTGGATCTAAGTAAAGTTAACATCTTATATAAACTTGAAAACAAATTGGTCGAAATTGATGGTATAGTGTTTAAAAGCGTGAGGAGTCTTTGTTTGTTTTTTAATTCGATTATTCCCAGACAGAGTTGAGTTTACATTAACTGATAAGCTTGGGATGTAATCATATGCATTGAAAGCAAAGAACATCTGTAATTATAAGATAACTTGAAGGTTTAACTCAATGTTTAACTCAGCTACAGCAGCAATGAAATATTTATGCGCCGTATCAAACACTAAATTTGCTATAACTGTTGTATCAAACTCCTGTTTACTAAATTAAAGGACAGAAAAAAACCTATTTTATGAATAGTTTTATTATTTATATTTGACTTTGAGTGTCCAAAAAAAATGGCATTTTTGTTTTGTTTTAATGCCAAATATGCCTACTTAAATGTATTTGATAGCCAAAGTACTTATGACCATATGTTTTTGTTAGAATGCGTGTGTGAATCTAAATTAGCTAGTGTAGCCTACATGGAATATTTTAAACACACTAGTGTTGTTATATTACTAGTCATGATAGTAAACAAAGACCAGGTTCAGCGATTCTTTTTCGTTCTGTCACGTATCAAACCTACATATTAATCAGGTATGTAGTGTAATCATGGAACATGGTGTAATTTAGTTTAAATAGATCATTCTAAAGTTAATACAATTCGATATATTATCTCGTGTGAAATGAAATATTTTGTTAGCGGCGAAAAGCCACTATTGGTTTTGTGTCGTCCGTCTGTTTAGGTCTCTAAACTAGAAGAGTTATTGCCAATCTGGTTTCATCCTGTTTTGTGGCGTCCGTCGGTTTAGGTCTCAAAACTAGAAGAGTTATTGCCAATCTGGTTTCATCCTGTTTTGTGTGTTTGGGAATGTCCGGTATATCAAATATTAACATTGTGTCTGCCACTATTTTGTTTGTTTTTTTTAAATCGAACCGTTTTGTTTTAAAATAAACTATAAAGTCTTTTTTTTTTTTCAGGGCATACAAAAATTAGTATTGTATAAATGTAAAGGAGACTAGATCTATTAACAAAGATAATTATTGTGTCTTCTTCGGTAACCATTATAAGCAGAGTTTTGTTCGTTATTAAAACTAATGTTGTACAAATATGTATTACTTATTTTTGTGTCTTCTAATCTATCAGCATCTAACATTTAATAGAAAACGTTTATTTTCATTTTAAAACAACTAATAAAGCGCATTGTATGCATACATATCTTTACCCATTTTTTGAAGTGCGATTCAATGGCAGTGACACGCATTTTTTTTTGTGTGTGTTCCACGTCACAAAAGGCAATGATCCCTCTTCAATACAAACAAGACCACGGCACGAATTTACGGCTGCGTATATTAGTTAATAGAAAGTAACTACTGGAATAGAGAGGTCTGTCCTTAAGACGTAACATCCTCCGAATAAGTAAATGTAAACCTATACCGGTGGGCTATTGTAAGCTGACTTGTTTTGCTGACCGTTCATAGCTAAGTAGATAGCCGTGTGACGAAGCAACCCACTGGAGAGGACCGAAAGTTTCTTCAAGCGTTCCACTCTTTACTCTTGTTAATAAGTAACGGTAGAATAAAAAAAAAATGATAGCATTGTATCTGTTAGACTCCAGTACCATGTTTGTCGTCTGTTCTGTTGCCTCATTCACGGCCCATTGTGGCTGTGCTAGTTACCTCGTGTATTTCTTCTAGCAGGGACTTATTGCTGTGTATTATGTTGTAGAGCACTTGGGGGGGGGGCTTTTAGCTTTCTCAATGCTATATGATCCTATCCTTTGTCTGGGCCAGTTGTGAAAGGGGGAGGGAAGAAGGGTGTAAGAAGTCGAGATATATTAATAAATGTGTTGAGATATATTGGTAAATGTGTCGAGATATAGTTGGTAAATGTTTACACGATTGTATTTAAATGCAAAAAAATATTCAGGGCTCAGATGTCCTCAAGGGGACTAATTCAACTTATATCACCCCACCTTTTAAGTAGGATTTCTTTCCCTTGTCCAAGATTTTAAAAAAATTAATTACCTATCGTGTATTAACCAATTTTTTTTTTTATTGATTCTTGTGCTGTCAAAGAAAAAAAAAATTGTGTGCACATTTTCAGCTTAATCCGAGATTGGGTGTGGGAGAAATAACGTGTACAAACTTTTGACCAGACAGACAGACAGGGTTGTTGTAAGATGTGTACAAAAAAATACAACTGACAAGTGTTATTGTAGTTAAGTTTATAAAACAAGAAATGTGTTTCACTTCATAGTTATTTGTATATACCTCACATATCATACATTTATTATACATTATCACTTTGTTTTGTATTTAGTTGTGCAATGCAATACTACAGACACAGTGCACAACCTCAGTGCATAGAGTCAATGAACTGAATTTCACAAAACCTTAGCTCAAGATCACAGTATTGTTACAGTCATATTAGGTCTGGAGAGGAACCCACACAGGAAGAGAATGGCCGGAAGACTGAAACAAAACATGGAGGACATTGGTAGACCAAGAAGCAAAGATGGCAGGATGGATGAACCCTAGTGAGAGGAATCGCCCAGAATGATGCGCCCCTATACTCCATGGGGAGTCAAAAGGAGAAATGACTGCTCCATGTAATGACCTTCCCCATATTGCAAATGTTGTTAGAATAAAGCTCCAGGTACTATCAAACTTCAAATGAAATAGTACCGGTACCAAAAGTCCAGTTTGAGATTCTCTCTAAATATTGAAGCGCTAAGATTTAAGTCTCTTGACTACAAGGTTGTTTTTCTATTTACATACATACTTTCTCTGACAAAAAGGCAATGTAGTGACCATTGTGAAACATTAAAGGTGATATTGTTTACAGGTCATTTTAGACACAACATCAACCTCATTAATACCCAGTAGTGAGTGATCAGACAATGAGAACTCCCTGGCTAGTGAGTGATCAGACAATGAGATCTCCCTGGCTAGTGAGTGATCAGACAATGAGAACTCCCTGGCTAGTGAGTGATCAGACAATGGGAACTCCCTGGCTAAGATCAAAGTGTTGTTCATAGTCCTCATAGGGCAGTAACAGCTGAGTGTAGAAGGTTTGATGTGCACATAATTTTAGATCAAATATTCTTTCGTAAGCTGGGGAGTATTTTTTTTTTATTTCTCATCATCTTCTGTCATCTGTCCACTTTGTTTCATTTCCTGCAGCCATTCTTTCCGCAGCTTCTCCAGAGTCTCAGAGCTTAATTCACCGCTGTCTAATAGTTTTTGTGATAATTTCCTCACAGCAGCCTAAACAAAACAAAAAAAAAAAATGAAACATTAAATTAGTTGTCCCCAGGCCCAATCTCTTTATCAAAACATTTGTCTAATTAGACAGAGTAGACTATAGCTTGCAAAGAAAATTATTCACTATAAGCATTGAGTTTGTTTTTTAATATGAAATAAACATCAAAGTCTTTCTTAAAATTTGGCAAAATCTTTCTTACAGCAATTAAATGTGCTCTACATTTTGTGATGGTGGATTTCGAAAAAAAAAAAATTCTTTTTAAAAATGTGTATTTGGTGCAAGAATCCAAAAGAAATGTTAACTTGTGTGTTGATATCAGTTGGCTCAGTTAGAGGGAAGAGTCACTCGACTGACTTTACATTACTCTTGTATACTGCTAGCCACAGAAACAAATGTAGCTTATCTTCAATTATTACATGAATAGCATCAGCCTGTATTTATGGTGTATTGACTAAACCCAGTCTATATTAATTGTGGATTAACCAATATCAGACTGTATTTATGGTGTATTGACTAAACTTAGTCTATATTAATTGTGTATTAACCAATATCAGACTGTTCTTAATACTGTCTTATTCTAAACTAAGCTACATACAAAATAGATCACCTTGTTCTCTGAACTTTGTATTTCCTTGGCTTTCTGCAAGTCATAGTCCAATGGTCTCTTGTATGATAGCTTCATGTTCCTCGTCTTCATGACAAAGTTATCCTCACTGTCTACCATCTCCTGGCTGCCATTCTGTTGGTTCTTAACCAACTGGACTATGTTTCTGACTCCAATCTGTATGATTTGATCCAGCTCTGTCTGGAGAACTCTCACCATAACTGGGTCAGGGAACATGTCTTGAAATCTATAGCTGCAAGTCAATGAAAAATCATGAAGAAAAATGTGCACAATTGACAAAGTTGTTTCCACATCTCTAGCTATGTCATAAATGGGAAAATAGAGATATTATGACATGAACAGTTTGGCAGGGAGAAGAACTCAAAGTATCAAAATGTCACAATACAAATTACTTCCCCTTGTTTGTTGAACCAAGTCTGCTGTCAACATAATTTATGTTAGAAAATTTTTTTCTGTGCAAAGTAAAAACACAAGTGACCAACAAACTAGACATATTATAGACAGTGAAGATGATGTGTAGACTTGATTTCAACATTCTACCACCACAGAAAAGATACCAGAGACTGATCAGAAAAACAAACAGCCATAAGATTCTTTCAGATGTAAACATCACGTCATGCTTTAAGTGAAACTGTAGTATAAACAGATATAAACTTTGTGTTCTTATGACATGATTAATGCACAATTGTTAGACAAATTTTAATAATAAATCAATAATATTAGCAGAGTGTCTTAGACTTTGTATAGCTAGAGACTAGACAGTTCTTTTATAGACAAGGTGACTTGTGCTGTGCACCCTAAACAGATGGGGGTGTTACTTGCTCATAGGTGGAGCTGACAGCAGATAAATACAGACCAGAATACAAGTTTTTGTTAAGAAGATGAGTTAGAAGAAGAAATAGGATTATGGCAACAAGATTTTGTTTCTCAAAGTAATAAAGTATTCTGCTGCTCACAAAAACTGAATATTAGCAAGGTGGCTGGCCTTAAACATAGGCAAACTAGGCAGTGGCCTAGGACCTCCAATTGGTGGGGGCCTCTCACAGGACTAAAAGCGTTGCAAAACTTGCATCAAATCTTAAATATAGCAGAGAACCACATCTATCAACTAAGCTCTACACTACTATAGCTAGCTCAAGGTTTATTGACAAATGTTTAGATGTGTTAGACTGCTTATGTTAGAAAACCCTTGTTTTTTATGAAATGCGTAATTATAATTTTCTTAACGCTTATTATTATTATTTGCTTATTAATTTAGGGGCCACCAAATTCACCTTGCTTAAGGCCTCCCATTACCTGAGACCGGCCCTGACACTAGGATAGCTATTAATAGCCCCAAGAGCCCTGTAAACCTTATTAAAGCCATGACTTTTCTTGACCTACCTAAGCCACAGATACAAATCCAAAACATCAAAGACGCTCTCAAGATGCATCAAGTCTGCCAAGTTACCAGCAGGTTTCATTGGCCAGCCAATTCTTTGACACAACCAATCCAGCGTCAGGGGCTCATTGCGACTGAAACGCCTGGCGAACTAAAATAATCACGTCATATTATTCAAGCATGCTATTATTAACTACATTAGTAATAAAAACAATAGCATTACAAGCAATGGCCTTAAAATTCAAAACTTAATAAAAAGACAGGGTTTGTAAAAATATTTTTAAAAAATTTTTTTTTGTTATTTCATTCTGTATATTTTTTTTTTAAAAGAAGATACATCTTCTGCATGATGTTCAAACTTTGTGCCTTTCTTCATTTAACTATTTTTTGGCTTACCAAATGTTGAAAATATGAAACTCTTTTACAATTAGCTATTTATTTAACTTGAATCTATAGATTTTACCTTAAGTTCTATTAAACACACTAGTAATATAATAATACAATAAGTTCTATTAAACATACTAGCAATATTATAATATCTTCTTCTCTTTTGAAGGAATGTCTGTACTGTGAATGATAAGAAAAGGGAAAAATAGAGACAAATGGGTCAAAGTTATTTATAATACTTAAAAGCACCACTGACCTGTAAAAACATGGTGCAAGAAAATGGTTGCTTGACTGAGATGGGAGCACAACAAAACACATAGCGGACACGCAGAGGCAAAGGGACGTGCTCTATCATATCTGCGAGAAACTTGAAGTCATCCATTTTGCACATAAAGTAGGTGGTACTGTCTAGTGCACAGATTTGCTCAAAGATTTCCTACAAATAAACATTTATTGTCTTTTTTAAAACATATACATTATAAAAAGAAAAACTCTCAAGTCTACATATGTTGTTACTGGCCCACAGATATCAAATCATTTTCTATTACTGTTTTGTCAATCAACTGGACTAGACAGCCTTTATTCTCAAATATGAATGGACAATTTATGTTAATTTATCATTTTGTCTATTGAAAACAAGTTAGCACACACAAAAAAATCCACTGTTATTAACTCAGAGAATAACCAATGACAAGTATTACTGTCAAAGAGGTTGTAGATACAACATATATGAAAGTATTATTTACTAAGATAATGTGGCTATAACAAGCAAACTAGTGTTACTTACGATGAGATTAGATAATGTTGCTTTAGGAAGATGAAATGCAAACAGTTCGATCTGATCAGCTGTTGGGTGTAAGCCACCTTGCTGGAACATAAAGAGTAGCATAAGAAAAATTTTTTTTTCACTTACACAAGTGTAGTTTTTGGAAATAGTATTCTCTGTAACAGATTTGATGTGACTATTTTTTGGTAACTTAAGAATTATAAAATTTTCTGCCTTTAAATCTTTTATTTTACAAAATATTAAATACCAGTAGGTAAACTAAAAAATTCTTCAAATTAAGTAAAGTGCACAGATATAGTGCACAATACACCAAAAGATACAGCCTTTAACCTAGACCCAAACATGTTACTCACTTTGATGGACTCGATAGGTTGGTTGACTATATCTTTCAATATTTTCAAATCCTTGGTATAAAACGTGGTGACCTCTCCATTTTCGTAAGCGGTGTTGTAGCGTCCCGCCCTACCAGCTATTTGTAGAGCTTGGGATGTCGAGATGAGATCCATCTCCTTCTCCCCCTTTTCATTCAGCATGGGCTTCATTACAGAATAGAAGACAATACGTTTGATGGCTCTGTTGAACAAACAAGGGACATAATAAGTAAAGACTGTTGTTGTGGTGGGCCACAGGAGACCTTCACCACTGAAATATGAAAGTGTTGCATGAGGCCCAACTAACTACAAATAAGACCTTTGAAGGTTCTCAGTATACTAAATGGGATTTAGGATCTATTCTGACAAATATATGTTCTTAATTTCTAATGTTGAAACATTATCTACAAATTATTTAGAAATTTTAAAGCTTTTATTTTAGTCTTATTTTATAGGCTGCTACAAAGTTGAACATTTTACAACATAAATATTTTTGTAATTTAGTATACATTGTTCACCCTCTAGCCTTTCTTAAACATATAACCAATAAAATGTATGGCTCATTCTTATTTTATATCAAGCACGTCATAATGCACACAATTACTTTTTTGAAATTGTGAATAATATACAATAATATAAAGTGTCATAATACCACCATCATACAAAAATTTTTCTTTCTTTTTTTATGTCAGCTAGAGGAATAATACAAAACTCACATATAGAGCTGCACATAGTCTTATAGAAAAGAAACTTTGGGCTTGGAGTTTTCAATGGGAACAGTCTACTAATTTAAAACAATATGCAAATAAAATTACTGTTTTTTTTCAAGAAATATTGAAACAAAGTTGAAAGCAATTTCTAACAAATGTCTAGTACTGAAGCAATAATTTGTAATTTAGAATTTAATCCAACATTGACACAGTACACACCAAGAACCCTAACTACATTCCATACAATCTGTTGACAGTCTACATGTGTCAGTTATGTCCCTTATCCGGCAGGGAAACAGTATACAATGTGAAAAGCATATTTTAGTAATATACTTACAGGTTTAAACCCATGCCTATAGCGTCAGTGGCCACCATTACTTT